ATTACCTGTGTAGTAATGGGTTTTTTACCAAAAACTGCTAAATAATATAAAAAAGGAAGAATAACAGTAAGAGGTGGGCGACAGATGGGACATTGCCCCTCTAAATAATTTATACAAGCATAATATTAGATGATACATTAAATAGGAAGTTTAATTAGTGATACCATGTTTAGAGGTAGGTACCAAAGTCCACTAGAAAATATGACAACACAAAATGCTAAACATCTGAAAAACAATAAACCCTACACACAGGATAAAGCATGCAGCAGAAGTTACAGAAGCTCTGCAAATATCTGAACCCAAACTGTGTAGGTACGTCAAAGAGGGGAATATGAATACTTATCCTTATGAAAGACTCCAATAACTCAGGTACCTTTATTGAAAAGCAAGAAAACAATTCTAAAAAATATCATGAAATTATGGAATGAAAGAAATCCTAGCAGCATCTTAATTTGTGTTGACCTGAAATAAAAAATAGTATTAAACTATGAAAAACAGTTTAATTTGATCTGAGAAGTTCCAATGTTATCAGGTGTATTCTTTCGGAATAATCTACTGGTAATGTTAATATGAAGTAACATTGAAACAACTCTATGTTCAAAGTAGAACATCAACTTACTCTCTGTATACATTTTGTATATCTCTAATCGAATAGTCTGTTTGACGCTTCCACTTGAATCAGTTGTCTGCAACTTCTTACGCTTCCGCGTGACAGGGGTAATTTCAGACTCAACTGAACCATCCTTATATTTATAGACAGTGGTCTCACTTAGTTTCAAAACCTTAGCTGTCTCCTAGAAAGGCAATGGAACAGTAAATTACAATGTATTTATTAAAAATTAACAAAAGCCACTCGGTTCGAAAATATCCCCTTCCAAAACTTGTACCTACATTTACTGAGATTAAGACGAAAACGTTTCTATGATCAATCAAGACTAACTTTATTGTTATTAACTTACAGTTATGGGATTTTGATCTTCATGAGACACCTTGAAATGGTTGTATACGAGTTGTATAAATTGCTGAGCCACAGGGATCCCATGAATTATTGGTCTCTACAAAAGGATTATTTGCTTATTTTTACTAAATTTGAAAACACTACCTTGTCACTTTCCCTCTTGCTTAGAAAAAAAAAAGATTCGTCTCGTAAAGAAGAAGCATCTCCAAGGTTTATTGCTGTTCCCTGAAAATTATTGGCGATGAATTATGACAGTGGTAATTTAAAGTTGCCAATTTTACCGTATTTTCTTCACACCTAAATCATCTGAGATGCTGGAACAGAGCAAAGTCTCCAGGACCCTGGTACGATCGGACTTGTCCGGGGACTTTTCTGTCATCGCTAATAAGAAAACGGCACTTTTAAAATCGTAATATTGTGTAAGTATTATGTTTAACTTACCTGAAGAAGATAAAATAAACCAGATAAGTCTTGATAGAGTCCAAAGTGAACACTTATAAAAAGACAAAACACTTAAATCCGAACTAAAACCAGGTTAGAAATGAAACGCAACACCGAAACACAAAGGCACAGAACACTACATAAAAAACCATAAAACCGATTGAGAATATAACAAAATATCAAAAAATAATGCAGAAAACGGCAATAAACTAAAACGATCTCGCGCAAAAATTCGAAATTCAAAATTCTAAGATCCGAATCTGATAATTTTATATGTCAAATCGAAATGTCATGTATCATTATTTGATGGTTGACAGAAAAAGGGACAGATCTAGGGATTTTATTTACTTTCAACTGGTGAAAATAACGGTCAAAATTTAAACTCTATCGTGAATACGACTATATCTAACTTTGATATTTATAAAATGGGTGTTCCTAATCACCCGGATCTTCCGGTTGAATTTTTTTTTTTTTTTTATTAGCCCGGAATTTCCGGATTATTATTATACCATTATTCGTCCGGATTGTTTTTTTACTTGTGCACCAGTTTACCAGTAGTCCAGTACACTTATATCCAGTATTAAATGAATTGTAATGAAACTAACCAAAAATATGCAAACTAGCCCAAACTAACCCGTCCACGTAATTCGTATTAGTCCTTGCATGTATTGAATTTAGAAAGAAAAACAGCGTGATTTGCGCGCTTTGTTATTAACTAGTAGTCCAGTACAATTATAACCAGTATTAAATGAACTGCAACGAAACTAACCAAAAATATGCAAACTAGCTCAAACTAACCCGTCCACGTAATGCGTACTAGTCCTTGCATGTATCGAATTTAGAAAAACAAGAGCGCGCTTCGCGCCCTTTGTTATTAACCAGTAGTCCAGTACACTTATATCCAGTATTAAATGAACTGTAATGAAACTAACCAAAAATATGCAAACTAGCCCAAACTAACCCGTCCTTGCATGTATTGAATTTAGAAAAAACAGCGCGCTTTGTTATTAGCTAGTAGTCCAGTACACTTATAACCAGTATTAAATGAACTGCAACGAAACTAACCAAAAATATGCAAACTAACCCGTCCACGTAATGCGTACTAGTCCTTGCATTGTCGAAAAAATTCAAATATCGAATTTCAAAAAAATAAAAAATTCTATCGGATAGAGGAGCAAAAAATACGTCAAAAAGTAAATTTGACCCTCCTTGTTACGGTACATCTTAAGGCCGAAAAAAAATAAAAAAGGAAATTTTGATTTTGATCAGAAAAAAATTGTGGGTATCCGACACGAGAACACTTTTTCGCCTATAACTCCGCTATTTCTCAACCGATTGTTTCGAGTCATATCTCACTTGAAAGAGGATGAAATTATCTACAATAGTATATTACATACCGAGGTGGAAAGTGTTTCATTACTGTCGAGAGATTTAAGTTAGACCGAGGCGCAGCCGAGGCCTAACTGAAATCTCGAGACAGTAATGAAACTTTTCACCGAGGTATGTATACTATTTTATTTACAATCATTCGAATTTTGAAATTTTCATTTGGATTAAAACTCAAAAATACAATAATTAACAATTTCATTTACTTTCGGCCCACGGGTCGAAAGTTTACTTTCGACCCGTGGGCCGAAAGTAAGAGTCAAAAAATACAATAAATTTTAAAAATTTCATTTACTTTCGGCCCACGGGTCGAAAGTAAACTTTCGACCCGTGGGCCGAAAGTAAAAGTCAAAAAAGTGACATTTTCGAACTTTTCAAAAGTCAGTAAAGTCAACATTACATGTATGATTGTAAATAAAATATTTTTTATTGAGATTCCAGATCGTCTTTGTCTTTGAGATATTGGCCGTCAAAGTTGAAATTTCTTGTAATTTTGTTAAAATTTTCGAGGTCGATTTCCTCGAAAACAGTGCCCCCTGGAGGGATACTTCTCATAGGCTTTTTTGTAGTACTCGACAAGATCTATAAGTTTTGCATTTGAAGTTTTTCTTCCAAGCTTTTCGTTTTCGAGTTAGGACGGTTTGAAAATTTAAAAAAAAAAAATCGAAGGTATACCCTTTGAATTTTTTTTGTCGAAAAAATTCAAATATCGAATTCCAAAAAAAAAAAAATTCTATCGGATAGAGATGCAAAAAATACGTCAAAAAGTTAATTTGACCCTCCTCGCTACGGTACCATAGAATGATTGTGTCATTGCAGGGGTACATGGTGTATTATTTTCCGGACGAATAATAATAAAATAATAATTCAGAAATTCCGGGTTGATAAAAAAAAAAATATTCGACCGGAAGTTCCGTAACATTATCCACACTGTTATAAAATTGTTCACCATAGCAAGTACCTACAACATGAAGTTGTGTGCTTTTGCAGGATTTCGATTTCAATTTTTTTCGGCTAAAACTTTAGGTTTCAAGGATGATGCTTATTGGTACATGGATACCTTTCTCATGTTTTTTTTTTTTTTCACGTTGTGACATTAAAAAAGGGGGGAATTTCAATGTTGAAAAACGGATTTTTTTTAACTGGCCCTGTATAAGAGGCAAAAAAATTTGCAACCTACTAAAAAAAACTTTAGGCCAAGATAAGTCGAATGGCGCTAACCGCAGGTAGCTAGCACACCTGGTTTAGAAGTTAAAAGCCTCTGGTACCGATAACTCATGAGCTTGAAACGCAAATTGATGCAGAGTTAGTCTGTTTCACAAGAGAAAAAACTGCTCAAATAATTCTTCATCAACTAACTTTGAAATCGAACTATACTCCTCAATGCACTTCTTAGTTAGAATCCATAACAAATCTAAATATATAGCAAGGATATTTGAGAAAAGATTAGTTGATTCTTTTCAAATGGAATCCTTTCTTATAACCAGTATGGTTTGACTGACGGAATTTACATCAGAAATCAAGAACTCTACAAGATACAGAAAATAAAAAATACTTTCATCAGGAACTGTATTGGAAACTATAATTTCATCCATAGCTTTTGTAATCCCACTTCAAGGCATGGAAATTGGAGGATGTCAAACGTTGATGATACTGCCTCGATTTTATTTGTAGGGGTGAAGCTTGGAATGCGAAGCAAAGAATCGCTATGGAATAAGATTAACTAGACAATTTTAAATTTTCCTTTTTGCAAAAATAAATTATATTGTTTTACTATGGAAAATTTGATCCATTTCTCGTTTCATCATCATAATTATTTATTTCACTCAACTCAATGACATTGTATACGTATAATATTTTTGAGAAAAACTGAAAATAGAAAAAAAAAACAGGATGCCATTAAATTCAAAACAATAAAGTGGGTATATGTATTTTGAAAATCAAAAACAAAAAAAAATTAAAAAAATATATTATTGGACAGTGGAATCAATTCTAGATCAAGCTTATCTAGTAGATTTTTTTTTTAAACATAAATAGCCAGGAAATAGGCGTGCATTAGGATTAGAGTATCAGTAAGTACCTTATCTATCAATCAATATCAAAGAAGTGTCCAATTTGTTTATATTACCCCTTCAAAATTAATTATTATTTTTGGCTAACAGTTTATAATTTGTCCTACTGCACGAGTGGGAGACGATGGTGGATAGGGCGGGGATATATTCCATTTCGCAGCCAAACTTATTTTAAGATTCTTTCCGGACGGTGCCGCGAGTGAAAAGTGATAATTTTTTACTTTTATTTTGTCTTGTGAAAAAATTAGGTGAGCAACTAGAAAATAAAAAAAATAAAACAAATAAAAGACTCGAAGAATGGTCGATTGTCACATAAGAAGTCATCCGAGACTAAAAATAGGCTGGTTTTTAAAATAGAAAATCTGTTCCTCATATTTTGTTACCGGAGGCTAATTTTATCCGAATGATGAACATGTTTTATGTGATCATTAGATCAACTTTTATTTTCAATTGGATTCGATTTTTATAATAAATTATTAAAGTTTTTTTCAAAGTTCATCCTATTCTTAGTTCTATAATGTTATGTGAAACTTTGCATATAAAGATGGCTAAATAGAAATTAACCCAAACGATAAGGATGTACCTATAATATGTATGTTAACAGTGATTGAACTATTTTACGTTTTTATATTGGTCTTTTATTTTTGGTGCTTTATAAAGCTTTGGGTGGATTGTACTTTTTGAAATTATTGCTTAAGAAAATTTGTTCAATGTTAAACATAAAATCAATATTTTCCCAGTATTTTCAGTAAAACAGAGATGAAAAGAAATATTTTTAGCCAGGGAGAAAGCTCAATACGAATGCAATTTATAAGAATCGTGTATAAATATATTGACTAATCTTTATTTAAGCTCAGTATATAATTATATAGAAAATCAATTTGTTAGAATTAAAAAGGGATGCTTTGTTGGAAATCGAGTTATTCGTTGAGATTGAGATAAGCTGAGTCAGCTTATATTGCTTCTTCTTCAGCCTTGATTCATCCAATACTGGTTAGAGCCTATTCCATATCTCTGTTGAGTGCTTTTCTCATCCACTTTCTCCCAGTTATTTTGATGATCAGATTAGCATTATTTTATTTGGAAAAGAAAATTGTCCACAAGTGAAAAGATGAATATGTATTGTTTATCAAGTTAGAAAAATTGTACACGATCTTGCAACACTACCTGGCATCTGATTCTCAAAACGATGATGCAGCCTTCTCATGAGAACGATTTTTTTGTAAAAAACATATTTACAAAAGTTTTAGAAAATAATCCAATCGGTTGACTGATTTCTTGATTCAGTGGCGGCTCGTGACTATTTCAATTGAGGAGGCTAAAAAATAATGAATTACGATAAGGTATATTTGTTTTGGGGTGCCCATGCCCTCAATAATTAATCTCAAATTCAATAAAAACCATGAATACTCAAGAAAATGTTCCTTTTCTTCATATAAGTACAATATATTTTCAGAGTTAATTTTGACGAAAAATAAAAAATTAAAAAAAAAGGAAGCCACAAATTGATAATAATGATTAATTACGATAATAATTATGTACTTTCTGCAACAAAATGCACAATTGCACAATAATTTACAATGGACCTGATGCAAAAAAATATCAATCAACTATAATTCTACAACTTCCGACTAGAAAAGTATTATGGAACTCTTAATGCATAAAACAGATATAAAAAAAAACAAGGATGGCAGTTTTCAACTATGCGTGCGGCTAGCCGCTCGTCGAGACTATGGTCGCTGAACGCCAGTAGTGGTTCGATATGTTTCCGGCATTTCTATTGGACCAGTGTTGCCAGAGAGCAAACATTTTTTGTACCAAAATTAAAGAAAAATTGTACCAGAGCGGGTACCCGGGCCACTCGGCCAGAGAGGACACGCTGATTTCTTCAGTGTGGCGCGCGTGCGGCCCAGAACATCTAAGGGCATCACAGACCCGTAATATTCATAATAGGTATTAAAATCAGTTGACAATGCACGGACGTATATAACTCCGGCCCTTAATTAAACAACGCCGGCCATTCAGGCTGGAGATTTGAAAAAAACATATGGCAAAACTGCTTATGATACAACAAACGTTAAAAAAATGACGTTTTAAAGTAGGCCTTGTTTCCTTTAAAACTCGATACAAAATGGCGTTTCTTTGTTGCCCTGTGGGCTCAAGATTGAAAACACTCTCGCCCTTGGGGCTCATGATTAAAAAAAAAGACGCCCCATGTCAATCCTCTAGCGTTACAGTGTTGCCCAAAGTTAAAAATTTCAATCAGCCTACAACATCATAACAATCGTTTCTTGATGTCAATTGCCACTGGTCAACGTTTTACATTTACAATTACAAATGCTCCAAAATAATTGTTAACATGTGGCAACGTTGCTGTTGTAGGCCTCAATCTGAATCACAAGGCTGTCAATTGACAAAAAAAGTCATAATAATCGTAGGTGGTCCTGAAAATTAACTCGTCAATAATTGTCAGAAGTCATAATATTGTATGTAGGTTTGTCAGTTGTCAAAAAAAAATTGAGTAATTATTCCAAGTGATTGAACCAAGAACAATCGAAAATTCCCAAGCAGCACTCCCATGTTGGGCCAATATTGGGACAATAACTACGATTTATTGGCCCAAGTCAGATTCTCTATGTTGGCCCAATAAAAGATGTGGTCAGCGGATAATTTGGAGCCAATCAAAAACGGGGAATATTCAAAATGCGATTTTTAGCGCCCAATCAAAGAGCCGGGAATATTCAAAAACTTTGGTTTTATCAAGTTGACTTTGGAATGTTGGTTTTCTATTGGTTTTCTTAAGATTTTTACTTTTTTCAGAAAACGGTGGTTTTTGCAAACATATACTACTTTATCGTTGTCTTTGTCTTAAGCCTAGTTCTCATGATGCGGAATTCCGGATTGCGGGTGCGGAATTTGTGAAATAATTCCGTTGGCGGGAAAACGTCAACTTTTTTGCGGATCCGCAATAAAGTTGAACCATTTTCAACTTTCTTGCGATTTTTTTTTCTGTCTTTGTCTAAACATTTCTCATCTTTGTTTGATTTCTACATAAACAAATAAACTAACCTCAAACAAAAAACAATAAAACAATTAATACCTAACAAAAATAAATTGCTCTGCTTGCTTGTGTGCTTGTTTTATTTTCAAATACATATTATTACGGCAAACCCCTTTTTCATGCCTTTTCAGAAGAATATTTCTGAACATCTTCCTTTTTTTAATATTCCTCTGCTATTCTGCTTCTTTGATGAAGTTTCATGCATATTATGGATTAATAGCAAACCCAATACTAACGTATATTGGGTGGTAGTCTGAATAAAAACGAAGTACTTGCTACTACTACCAAGTATTTACTTCACAACAAAGGATTTACTAATTTCCGGTAGTTTCGAAATGTAGAATCTACTTCATTTTAAAGTAAACACTACGAAGAATATACTACTACTTGTCGTAGTAGCAGATACTTTGTTTTTTTTCATACCTCCCTCTGTCTTTTCCATTGATAATAATTTAATTGTGCTATATAATTATCTATCCAGGCACACTGGAAAACAAAAACAAAAAATATGTTAGGTTAAGATCACATGTATTTGACATAAAACCGCATCCGGAATTCCGTTTCATGTGAACCATCAAAAATTACGATTTTCAAAAAACTGCGATTTCCGGACCCGCAATGCGGAATCCCGCACCATGAGAACTAGGCTATACTCACTATAATCAACAAGTAAACCTTGTAATGTCATTTTCATTGAAATTAAACTAAAAACAATTTTCCGATGCTTTTTCTAGGGAATTTTAATTATTATAATCATTATTTAATAATTACTCAACAATTTTTAATTGAATTTTAAACAAAAAACTCATTTTAAATGTTATTTTTCTTTTCCGAGATGTAATGTGGCAATTTTGCTTTTAGTTGGCCATTTTGAAGTGAGGGCTTATGATTTTTTGCCAGTTTTTCCTCGAATTTTCGACTTTTCTGGGAATTTTTGATGGAAAAAAGCGATTTAACATACGAAGCTTTGGGTTTTCTTCATTTTCTAGCAAAAATTTCCACTTTTCAATGCCATAATTACCAAAATTCCATTTAAAATGCTTTTGATGTGGCAACATTGTTTGTGGCTAACTTCAATCAAGGAGGCCTTGTAATAAATTAATATCATTTGTCATTTTTGACAGTCGGCCATTTTCATTTGACGTCCTTACATTTTTATCCAGTTTTTCCTCGAATTTTCCACTTTTCCGGGCTGCTTACGATCGGAAAAATCGATTTGATGAGTTTCCTTCATTTTGTATCAAAAATTTCGAGTTAACGGGGTAAGTAACAAAAACTTAAATTTCACCAAGTAGGCTTTGGAATGTCATTTTTCAATGGTTTTTCTTTGGATTTTCCGCTTTTCCGATCAGGAAAACCGATTTAAAGTACGAGGCTTTGAGTTTTCTTTATTTTCTGCCGAAAACCTAAACTAAACACAAAATACGTCAACCAAAAACCACAAAATGAGTGTTACATTAGTGACGCAGTGACGCCATCTATTTACGAATCAAAAATTATTGTTATATCGAATTTGGAATTTGGATACAGAAATACAAGTTAATTAGAAGAACGACATTAGACTGAGGAGGCAGTAGGCTAAGACTCTTTGAGAATTTGGAAAAAATAAAAAAATTGTACCAAATATGCCAACGTCGTACCAGCGTACTTTTTCAAAACGAATGGTACCAAACCTCGTACAATTGTACCATCTCTGGCAACACTGTATTGGACGCTTAGATCCGCGGTCCATTTGAATGCTAGATTTCAGTAAAGCATGTGAGAGTTTAGCATCCAGTCGACCTCTAATGTCAGAATAATTGCAGGACAGGGATTCTGACAAAGTGGCCTCATGGCCCTCATGTTGGTTACCCACAATTTTTTTCTGGTCACAATCGAAATTTCCTTTTTCATTTTTTTCCGGCCTTAAGATGCGCCGTAGCGAGGAGAGTCAAATTAACTTTTCTTCAGGGTTGTTACCATCTACACTATTGTGTAGTTTGCTACACAATAGGGTAGCGGACAAGGTTTAATTTCAATGAAATCGATGATCTATTTTTCATCTATGGAGTAAATGAAAAATATTCCTATTGAAAGAAATTTCAGAAAAAATTGCTAACTTTGTTTAAAACGATTGTAAAAGTACAGTTTTGGGACGCACTATTTAAACGAAAATATTTCGCGCCTTGATTCTACGTCATAGCTGCTGTATTTGAGTATGAAATGAATCAAACCTTCGTCCTATATTCGACACACACTTACTCATTAGTGCAAAAAAGACAGATATCAGCGTCTGTCGGGCGCACCCTCAACTTAACCCCACTTTTTAAGAGATTTTAATTTGTCAATCAATGCGCACTGAGCTTATCTGCATCTTTTTCTAGAAGCATGTAAAATATAAGGACGCACTGACCGCGCTCTCGCCCACTCTTATTAATGTCGGAATGCCTTGACGCTATAAGACATAACACCTATGACGTAATTTCCGGGCGGTAAATTATAGCGTTTAAAATAAGTACAAATTTGTTTATGTTTTTTCAGGTATATTTTTGTTTTTTAAAATCAAAGAATCATCAACCACTATTTATTTCGTTATGGAGATTAATTAAAAAAATATTTCAAAAAATTGACCACTACCCTATTGGACTATCGATTACACAGGTGCACCCCAATGACCAATTTCATCTGTTTGCTACACTTTTTAATAAACTGCACAGAAATGCTACACAATGGATAAATCACCTATTCCGTAACTCAAAATTCTTGAAACGGTAGTGAATTTCGCCACTTCTGCAAAGTGGCAAAAGATGTCGCAAGCGTTCAGTGTCGGAGTCGAGATCTGTGGGCCCGGATTCTGAACCCACGATTCAATAGCATCGTCCATGAGGTCTATTTCAGCAGAAATCACAAACCAGTCAGAGTGAATTTCATTGGTTGAAACTAGTTTTCTGTCTAATGAAATTCGCTCTGACTGGTTTGTGATTTCTGCAAAAACAGACCTCATATAAATATAAGGTCTGTTTCCACAGAAATCACAAACCAGTCAGAGCGTTTTTGATTGGTCCAAATCGCCAACAGCCAGTTTCCTGATTATTTTCTCCCAATGAAATTCGCTGTGACTGGTTTGTGATTTTTGTGAAAACAGACACGAGGGGTGGTTAACTGGTCAAAATCCGTGTACAAGTTGGTCAAAATCCCAGAAAATCTCATAAGATCTTCTCAAAATCCCTAAAATTCTTTGAAATCCTTAAAAATTTAACAAAATCCCACAAAATCTT